CCCCCCACACCGCCCCCCCCCGTCTCTCCAACCCCAGGCATCTGCGTGGCAGGATACGGCGGCAGCGGCGGGGACGGCAGGAGCGAGATCCTGCAGCTGGGGCTGCCCCCGCGGCTCTGCGCCCGGGACAAGCAGGTGAGGCCCGAGGGTCGGGATCTAGCTCTGACCCCAGCCCAGGGCTCAACCCGGCCCCCACTCCCACCCCCCCGGAAAAGGCCTTGCGGTGCCCTTCTTCCCACGGGCGCCGCCTGCGTGCCCGGTGGTAGCGACGGCCCGCCTGGCTCTGCCTTGCAGGGGCTATGTCCGGAGAGGGACTTCAAGGTGGAGCGCGGAGGGTTTTCGCACCGCCCGGTGCATGGCTTGAAGCAGGTGCCAGACACCAGGTAGGTCGGGAGGTGCGGCGCGTGACGGTCGCGGCTCTGGCTCCCTCGCTTCTGTCGTCTCGTCCCTCTCTCCGGCACCGCGGTGTTTCCCGTGGCTTCTCGCTGTCTCCTCCCTCCGTGCTGCTGTCCCCTGCGGCCCCGTCCCTCGTGCAGTCTGGTCTGCTCGGCCCCGTGCACCCTGTCTTCCCCCCGGCACGCTCTCTACCTCACTCCTGTCTGCCCTCAGAGGTTTCTCTGTGGCATTTACCTCTTGCCGGGGCAATCACTCCTCTCTCCTGTCCTGCTTTCCCCGCTCTGGAGGCTGACACCGGAGGGCTTTGCGGGGTATTGGCGTCTCTGTGCTGACGTGACCTGGGGAGGCTGGAGGAGCCGACAGCAGCTGTGTGGAGGAGGCCGCCCTAGCTCCACTCCCTCTCTAGCAGCTGTGAGGTTGACGTGAAGACCCAAAGGCTCTGGGTCATCTGGGCTCTCGCAGGGCCCGTGGAAGGGCTGGGCGAGCGCCAACCTCTCCATCCTGCAGCGATGGTCTCACCTCAGGCACGTTTCCCATCTGGCGTCAGGACACAGGTCGGGTTTTCTGCTGTCTTGCTGGGGCGCCAACGGGAAACGTTCTGCCGGGGACCTCAGCTCTGCCCTGACCCGGCTCCTCCTCTCTAGGTGGCGCTTGCCAAAGTGTTTCGAAATTAGAAAATCACTTCTATGCCCTACCTGCGGTGGTTCCTGTAGGAAAATGCAGAAAAAGCCATTTGAACACCATGTGTCGGGCGGTTCGTGAAGGGATTCCCAGCCAGCTCCACTCGGAGCTCATATCGTCTGCAGCGTCTCTGGTTTGAGCCTCCTTTGGGTGGGGAACATCCCTGCCAGCAGACAGGCTGCGTGCCTCTGTGCGGGCTTTGCTCCTGCCCCGAGATCTGTGCCACCATGCACCCGGCTCCTGGCTCGGCTCCTCCTCTCAGGGTTTGTTCACAGTGAACAGAACAGTCTTGGTGCAGTGCTGCGAGAGCTGGGATCCCAGGGCTGCTTTCACCTGCCCGAGGCCTGCAGGGTTCCCCAGTCTGGGCAACGCCCGAGTGTCTCGCATGGATGCGGCGGGGCTGGTGCAGCATGGCAGTGGCCGAGCCGGGGTGTGAGGAGGCACCAGAGCAGGCAGGCCTGGCCTGAGGGTTTTAGGAATTACCCAGGGTTACTAGGAATTACCCGGGATTACAGACTTAGAGAGGAGGTTCAGGTTGGACATCAGGAGACATTACAGTCAGAGCTGCCAGGCTCTGGAATGGGCTCCCAAGTGAGGTGGTGCTCTCTTCTACCTTGGGAGTCTTCAAGAGGAGGCTGGACAGATATTTGGCTGGGGTGATATGATTTGGCTGGGGTGATGTGACCGTGGCACCTGTTCCTGCCCAGGGCAAGGGGTCAGATCTGATGATCTGTTTAGGTCCCTTCCGCCCCTAAGAACTATGAAACTATGAGGGGCCGGGCTGCTCCCTGTTGCTGAAGAGCTCGCATCTCTGTCTGTCTTCCTAGCTTGCTGGTGACCAGTGGCCCCCCTGACAGTTCCCTGCAGGTTTGGCAGATGGCAGCAGAGGACACTGGTAAGTGAATCTGTCTATGAATAAGAGCTGAGTGGTCTGGCACAGGTGTCTTGGGGTCTGCCAGCTGCATCTCTGCCCTGCTGCGCCCTCCAGTAAAGCCGGGACAAAGCTGTCGTGCTTCTCAGGGGTTTGCTTGCTGGTGCACTGGGGATCTGGGAAGGGTAGGATGTTAGCCTGGTCAATGAAGCCCCCAGATCTCCTTGGGGCGAAAGACTCAGCAGCCTTGGCTGTCCTGGAGTGGAACCTGCTTGTAGCCAGGAGCGCTAGCAACTGTATGCCTCCGCCTGAAGGGCGAGGGGAGGTTGTTCCTTGGAGGCCATGCCATCTCTAGGACAGCGGTGGGCAGTTAGTTGGGCCCGAGGGCTACTTGAGTTTACATGAGCTGTTTCCAGGGCTGGGTCCGTCATCATGCAGAGACAAAGCCGTGATCCGGTCCCTGCACATCCCTGTGGTGGCACCGGTTCCGCAGGCTGGGACGTGCGGGGAGCGGATCGTGCCTCGGCCCCATGCTGTCGTCACCCCTTGATGTTAGCCCATCCATCCAGGTACCAGATGCCACTTCCTGCCCACCCGCGACCCCATCCCATCTGCCTGGCTTAGCTCACCGCACTGTCCAGCACCCTTGGTCATGGGCGCAGGTTGGACTGGCAGCAGCAGCCGGGCAGAGTGAGCCACCACTGCGGAGCCTGCCCAGAAACAGTCTGGCAGCCACCCTGCCGTGTGCCTGGGAGTGGCAGGGTTGGCTGCACGCACCAAGGCTTGGGCTGCCCCCTGCTCCTGAGCCGAGCAGGCCAAAGGGACCCACCATGGGCTGAATAAAATCCCTTGACAGGCCAGATCCTGCCTGCAGGCTTTATCTTGCTCACCCCTGCTCTAGGAGGTGGCTGGTGGCCACAGCAACTCCGCTCCAAACGGGGATGCTGCCATGGCCATGGCCATGCCTGTGCTAGGCGTGAGCTGGGAATTCCCTTCCCCTCCTGCAGGCCCTGACATCTGTTCCCAGCTTCTTCCTGCAGCTGCAGCCTGTTGACTTCTGCTCATTGGTACTAGTGGTGGGGCAAGTCCCCTGCCCTGCAGGCATCTGCTTGTCTGGACACTTGGGTTCGTGCTCCTCCGCTGGGGAGGCAGCGGAGCCCAGTGGCTGTGGCACTAGCCTGAGGGCTGGGAGACCGGGATTCTCATCCCACTTCTCACTTTGGACCTGCCTCGCACCAGGCAGCAGCTCCTTAACGCTTGCAAGCATTTGCACAAAGCCCATTCATTTTAGCAGGCACTGATCTGATAGCTGTGAGCAGGACAAGATAAAGAGCTCGGTGGGGTGTCAGCTATTACAAGTTGCTTCCCCTGCCCTGTGTCTGGTTGTGGTGTTTTATCTGCCTTTGTAAAGCCACTTGGAATCTATGGCTTGGAAGTGCCATCAATTTTATTCTGTTTGTAGTGACCGCAAACCACTACCTTGACACTTCCCAGCTTGGATTTGCTGGGTTTCTAACTGGCCTGTCACGGCATGTCTGGCAGACATGGTGCTTTTGCTTTGGAAGAGAATTGAGGCATACGAGGAACCGGTCGGGTTGTATGTCCGCATGCTGACCAAGCACGTCCATGCTGTACATCAGCGAGGCCTTGCGCTGCAGTAAAGCTCTTCTCCTCTTTTCTCTCTCATAGATGTTATTAATTTTGTAAGTACCATCCCTGCGGGAAATGCCAGTGAGAAATCTTGGGCCAAAATTGCAACGGCTTTTGCTGAGAACCCCTGGGTGCTTCATGGCTCAAGAGTCAGCAATGTCCAAGTTACAGAGATCGAGTCGAAGAGAAGCATCTACAGAGCAGGTATTTGGCCACAAGACTCTGCCTGCCTCTGCTGTGCTGGGGGTTGGGCAAGGCAGGGTATCAGTGCTCAAAACTGCTGGCATATGGAGGTCATGCTTTAAAAATGCTGAGATTCCTCCTCCTTAGGTGGCAAACTCCCATTGAAATGACTTGTCATTCAGCACTTAGATACCCTTTGTGAATCTGGGCCAGTCCTACTTCCCCATGCCTTGCAAATGGGAGTTACCCCTGTTCAGGAGCCCCCTGAGCATGTGGTGGGAGCCTGGTGCTGTGGGAAAAGAGGGTGGCATCACCGGGTCTGTGTCTACCCCTCTGTGTTTCCATCACGACTGTTGGCCGTGAAATGCGAGCAACCCCACGGTTCCTCTTGCACCGTGTGTAGCTGGGGGTTTGGGTTCACGGGTGATATTCCTTTCAGGGCAGAGGTCTTAAGCGAGACTTGTGTGGTGCCTCGGCCTTGCCCCAGGTGCTGCACCCAGGGCTGCACGTTATCCAGGGACAGCAGAACGATCCCCTGCAAGGGTGGGTGTAGGGCAGTCTCCAGCCCCCTGTGGTCAGTCCTGTTAAAAAACTCTTGCCCCTCATTCAAGAAGTTGCTTCCAGTGAGGCGGCCCTAATACTTGCTGAGGAGCGCGCCTAAATAGAGGCTAAAATAGCAGCCTCCTAACCATGCCGTTCCCTCTGACTCCTGAGCTTGTTCCTTCTCTCTGAGCCTCTAACAACAGCGACGAGGTCGGTGGCCTGGAGTTCCTGGACTGCAACACATTTCTTGTCTGCTCCACAAAGGGACGGCTCAGCTTGGCGGATATTCGGCAGCCACCAAGTCCATTGGAGGGTGCGCCCGTCTCATTGGCCCTGGGAGGAGAGCGCTGGTGCATGGGCGTGGGGCACAGCCCTGATGGGGGGGCGCTCGCTGCGGCCTGCTTCTCATCTGGGGGGCAACTCACGCTGACAGATTTGAGAAGCAGCTCAACGCCTTTGAAACAGGCCACGTGCAAAGTCCCTGTGCCTGGGCAGAACGCAGAGTTCCTGGGTGTCTCCTGGGCTCCAGCCTTGGAGGGATGCCTTGCTGTTTCAGGTGAGTATTGGGAGAAAAGGGAAGCTCTTTGGCTGCATGTGTCTAGTGCGATTGACTCTGGCTCAGTGCCCGAGCCCATGGCAGTCTGCATCTCTAAGGCCATGTGCTGACCAGGCTCCTGTCACGGCTTGTGGTGGAGTCGGGCAGTGGTCATCGCAGAGCATCCCTCCACAGCTGCCACCCAGCGCTGCTCAAGGGGATGCAGTTTGCCTCCTGCCAAGACCAGCCCCGACTCTGGTAGCTGCACAAAAGCTTCTAACCAGGTGTCTGCCTGCTCTGGTGCGTTTCTTCCCTGACTTTCCAGAGAGGGCGCTGAATGAGAGCTGGATATAACTGGTTGAACGGGGCCATAGGGCTTCCTGCTCAAGGCTTTGTGCCAATTCTTTTGTTTCTTTTAACCAAGGCTTTGACGGGACCGTTCACGTCTATGACACGAAGAGCTGGGATGACTCCAGCCGGGAAGCAGCCCCAGTGTTTGTTCACAAAGGACATGCTTTCAGTGGAGCAAGCAGTGGGGCCGTGGTCACAGTGCACACGTGGCATCCGTGGAAACCAAGGACCGTGCTATCGGCAGCCAGTGATGGCTCCCTTCACGTTTGGGACTGGATGGATCCCTGCAGCAGTTAACACATGTTCCGCTAGGACCTCGCTGCTGTTCCTGCAGTCCTGTTCACGGATCCTGGACTGCCTCTACACGGACAACTGGTTAGGTTGCTTTAGGCTGACAATCACAGTCAGTAATCCCAAGTTTGAAGACCAGTGTTGTCAAACCAGCATTGTTTTGGGAGCTGTTATTCCAGGTGTGTTCTCCCATGGCCCATTACTTGCTCTCATGCGGCTGTTTTGTTTCCTGGTTTCCAGCCCTGCAGAAGAAGGTTGAAAACCTACCATGTTCTTGCTGGTCATCAAGGTTATTTTACATTAAAGAATCGCCTCTGTTGAGGCAGTTGCAGTCCCTGAGATGTTTACTGGAGTCGTTTTATCTTGCAGCACTGCCTAGGTGTAAGGATCAGGCTTTGGCATCAATGTGCCTCTCCTTCAGCTTCTGAGGGCTGTTGGCTTCCCCTTGGCCTGCACCATAATGCAGTGGTTCAGGTTGGGGTTAGACCGGCTGAGGGAAGACAGGTCCTTCCAGGGCCAAGAAATGCAAGTCAGGGATGTAAGCAAGCGTGGGGCATCCTCGAACCTGTGACTGCTGGTAACTGGCAGGGCTTGATGGGGGCTGAACCATCCTCTGGGTGCTCCATCTCATACCACCTTCCTCTAAAACAGTGGGGCTTGCCACAAGCCAGCCCTGCACCCTGCCTCAGTGCCTCTCCCCTCCCCTTCCTTTGCCCGCTTTGCTTCCTACCTTGTCTGCCAGCCCCCTCCCCACTCTGTGCGGTGCCACTTGTTGCAAGTTGACCACCCCTACTCCAGAGCAGTGTTGCTCACCCTTGTCTTGCGGGCCAGGTGGGCAGTGCCTAGTCCATCACCAGCTAGATCTGGCCTGTGGGTCCTGATCCGTCCCCAGGGCAGGGACGGTGTGGCCCCCTCTGGTCATGCAAAGGGGAGCGGGAGCTAGCCTGGCCCCATAGAAGAAAGGGGCCTAACCTGGCCCGATCTGTGTGGGGAAACCTGACGGGGCCCCAGCCCAGGTGAAAAAAGACTGGACTTGGTCTGGTGGTGTGGGGGTTAGGATAGGTTGCTGGGCTGGACAGACCTTTGGTCTGTGGTAGTATAGCTTCCCGTTTCCTTAGGCCCTTAATCTGCGCAACATGAAGTTGAAGCACAAAGCTGAGTAATAAGCACACCTGGGAAACTCCGAATGCCACGTCCAGGAGCACCATGACTTCTCCTGATACGGGACAAGCAATTGTAGCAGCTCTCCCCTGCAGTTTCATTTTCATTTCAGGATCAGCCCTGTCCAAACCAGCCCAGACATATCCAAAAGCTAAACTCTTCATAAAACTACAGTCAACCCTGGTGCAACACAAGACATCACACCCAAACCTGCCGCAGGGAAAGCAGACTGCAGTGGCCAATACCTATAAAAGGTTGTTAATACATGCTCAAGAGATCCTAGGCTGGGATGGGCAATTATTTTGGGTGGAAGGCAGCTTGATGAGTTTTGGGGAGCTGTTGAGGGCCACAAGGGTAGCCCCACCCCTCGATAGCCCCCTTGTCATCATCTTGGGACGGGAAGTACCACCCCTAACCCTTGACCTTTACCACCAGTAATCCCTCCGCTTGCTCCCCGAAGTACTCCTTTTGGGAGGGGGGGTGCTGCCACCTTGAAACTAGGAAAGAAAACAAATATACTAAAAAAAATCATCCACTATGACTTATTTTCATTTTATTGAAGCCTTCTCTAGCCCCAAGCAATCCCTGCAGCCGGCCCAAGGGGGCTGGGCTGAGATCCCCGGCCCCAGGCAGAGACCCGCAGTCCCGTTCTCCAGATGCTACCTCCCACCCCTGCCGTGTCCCTGGGGAGCACAGGGTCCTTGCACCATGCTCAGCCCCCCATGTGCTCTGCTTGGTTTAGGAGATGGTGTTTCCAGACCAAGGCTTGGACCACATCATGTGGGTGCCTGCAGGAAGGTGAGTACACATGCAGCAGCGTTGTCCCGGGGCAGACCCACAGCCCAGCGCCCTAAACAGGATGCATCTGAAGCGACCTGGGCCCTGGCAGACGCTCCTGGGCACACACCGTCATTGGTTTGGGGTTGTCCGAGGTCTTTATTAGTTGCCATGAACTTGCCCAGTGCCTTTTAAACTGTGTTCATCCTCCTGTGGCAATGAGTTCCACCAGTTAACGAAGCACCGAGTGAAAAAAGGGCAGTCTCTGGTTTGCTTTAAGTGGTGCCGGAGCAGGGATTTCTCTTGGTGTGGGTCAAGCCTGAGGGAGCCACCTCGACTGCTGCCAGGGTGTGGGCGAGAGCAGCATGAGCTGCATAAAACCCACTTGTACCACTCCAGAGGTTGGCCGTGAGACTCCCCCAAAGGCTTCCCAGCATCCGGAGACGGGAAGGCCGGGAGACGTGTTTGCTCTGGGTGCATCCTAATGCTCTGCACCCTCTTCTCTGCTTCCATCTCCATGACGTGGTGGAGGAGCTGGTGAGTGGAAACCTCTCGCCCCATGGGCCGGGATCATGCTGGTTTGGGGGGCTGCATCATGCTGACTCGGGGGGGCAGGGAAGGCAGTTTTTGTGGGTGCCAGGAGAGAGCGGCTGAGCAGCAGCATGAGGCTCTCTGTGGCTGAGCCAGATCCTAGATCTGTGTGTCCCACCGCACCGAGCAAGGAAAGACCCTCCTAGTGCCGGGGGTGCGGGGGTGAGCCAGCCTTCCTCCAGAGCCAGGCACGGCAGAGCACCCCGTGGGGCTGGCTGGGGTCTGTCCTTCTACCGCGCTCTCTGCACCCATCCAGGTCCTGGAGTTGGCAATGGAAAGGGCCTCCAAGACAAAGATCCTCATTGCGGTACGTGCTGCTCCGCTGCGCTGTATGCCAGGGCACCCGGGCAGGAGGAAGCTGGGGGTGCCCACCATGAGACGGGGGCTCTGAGGCGGGGTAATGCAAAGACCTGGAAGCTGGTTTCCTGCCAGAGGGCGGAGGTGCTCATCTCGGATGCTGCAGCTGGGGCTTGGCTACACTAGGGCAGCCTTGGGCAGCACCGCCGATGCCCGTGAAGTGGGGGAATCCATCCAGGCCACGGCTTTACCTCCCAGGCTGGCACGAGCTCCCTCCTCCAGGCTGTGCCCACCGCAGGCAGCGCCTGCCGGGAGATTTGGGATTAACTGTGGTCTCTTGCGACAGCTCCACAACAAGAAAGAGCTGGAGGCTGCCAGGACCACGGTAAGGTCCCGTGTCTGGCTGTTTGTGGGGGATGCAGAGAGGTCAGAGAGACCCGATCCTGAGCAGAGATCCTCCCAACACCCTCAAACCGGCCTCTGGGTCAGCCACGGTTCCCCCCAGGGGAAGGGGCCCTGTCGTCATCTGACACCCCCCCAGCATTGTCCCACAAACCCTCAAAGTCCCTGGAGATGCTCTCGCTGGGCCCGTTCCAAAATCTCCAAAAATGCCCTCTCTTGAAGTGGCCGGGGGTCTCACGAGCTCAGCAGCCCTACCTGACTGCACACCTAGCACCGGCCCCATGGCTGAGCCTGCCACCCCACACCCAGCGTCCAACTGCACCCGGCACCCGCCCAGCACCGCCTCCCCAGCCCTGCCTGGTGCTCTGGCTGCCTAAAGTGCTGGCAGCTCTCCTGGGGCTTGCCAAGAAGCCCTGACCCTGCTCCTGCCAAGGACACTGGTCCTCTCCCCCCTCCCGGAGCAGCTTCAAAGCATCAGCAGCGTTAAAGCCCTATTTAGTCCCAGTCCCATCCTGCTGTCTGTGGTCAGAGGCACACAGGGGTCGGGAGGGGACCTAGCCGGCTTCCTGCTGGCTGTAGCTGTTGGGGATCGGGATGCATGGGTCAGAGGCCACTGCCTGCAGCCAGCTCCCTGGCACTGAGGTGCAGTGCAGAAAAACGACTGGCATTCAATTTTGGTGGCAAAAGCTCAAAAGAGGATGATTATCCCTTGGGACAGGAGCTAGCGGGTCTGCACAGCCATCTGTTTTGCTTTGTACAGCTTAGCCCTCGCCTCCTCCTCCCACGTGCAGATCCAAAAGAAAACACACGTGGCTCTTCGGATTCTGCAAACGACTTGTTCGGAGCGGGGAAAACGAGGGCGGTGTGTAGCAGTGGTGGCAGGAGCATCGCCTTCATCAGTGCCACATGCCCCCCTATTGGATTGCCGTAGCCCCAGTTTCTGTCTGACTCCACCGCGGTCGGGGCTCTCAGGGACCCGTTCACCAGGACCTTGCTGTTTACATTGGTGTACAGTGCCTTTATCCAGGTGACAGATGTTATGGGGACTCCCATCTTTTGCAGTGTCTTCAGTAGGAAACAATGGGAAGGTAGTAAAGCCAACTTTCTCATGAGGAGGGTAGTAAAGTACTGCACCAGGCTTCCCAGAGAAGTGATGGAGTCGCCATCCTTGGAGGTTTTGAGGACCCAGCTCAACAAAGCCGTGGCTGGGATGATGTCGTTGGAGCTGGTCCTGCTTGGAGCAAGGGGTTGGACTAGATGTCACCTCTGGAGGTCCCTTCCCACCCTCATCCTCTCTGATTCTATACATGAGTGCATGTGTTGGCATGCATGCGTGCACACACACACACACACGAGTGCATATACACACACGTGCACGTGTGAATACATGAGTGCATGCACAAATACATACCCCCCCAACCCAAATGAATGCAGACGTGCATGCATGCACGCATGTGCATAGGTGTATGTGTGCACAACCCTGGTGGCAGCACAAGGAAGGACTCCCTCCCCTCCATGTGTGCCCCACTACGAGAGGCAGGAAGGCCCTCTTCTTTCCTCAGAAAATGCTCTGTAGAAGGCAGGGCAGGCAGCAAGGTGTGTGCCAGCAGCATGGCAAATGTACATTAAGTCTCAGGGCAAATTGCTTCACTATCGGGGCAGTAGGGTAGTGGGAAGAGCTTCCCAGGGGCAGGGGATTCCCTGGGGTCCAGGCAGAGCCTGGGGAGTGTCAGCCTCAACCTCCTTTTCTACTTGGGTATTTTCCCTGGCCTGTGCTCTTCACTTGTTTCTCCTCTGCTTCTGCTCCATGTGTCAGGGGGTTTAAGCCTCCCCCGGAGGTGCTGGCTGCAGCTCAGACTGGGGCTGTGCCAATGCTCCTGCTGGGACCAACCCCAGAGGGTCCTGGCTGCAGGATCTTGCCCCCATGATCAGGGTGAGATGAATGGTGCATTTGGGGTCAGGAAGGGATTTTTTCCCCCTGGTTGGATTGCTACAGATTGGGGAAGCGAGGTGGGGTTTGCCTTCCTCTGTAGCGGGGGCTCGGCCCCTGCTTGGCATCTCTCCGGTTTCAATTAACAACCTTTGCAGCAGCAGGACATTGGTGGCTGCGGTCTCCCTGCTTTCCCTGTGGCAGGCTGT